TTGAGGTCTTGGCACCCACATGGTGGCTAACAACTATAATTACAATTCCAAGAGATCTGACGCCCTCTTCTGGCCTCCCTGAGCACTGCATGCAGGCAAAACAGTCATACACATAAAATAAAGACAATTAACTTTTTTAAAATTAATGAACCAAAATCAACAAAAGTAATCAGCAGATGGCTACAGGCAAGATGTACCATGGTACAATCACTTTGGAGAACAGTTGGAGAAAAATCCATGGGGCCGGGCGGTGGTGGCGCATGCCTTTGATCCCAGCACTCTGGAGGCAGAGGCAGGTGGATCTTCGTGAGTTCGAGGCCAGCCTGGTCTACAGAGCGAGATCCAGGAAAGGCACAAAGCTACATAGAGAAACCCTGTCTCGAAAAAACAAAAAAAAATCCATGGAAGCCAAATAAATTCGTACACTATGGCCCTACCATTCCCTCCCTGACACACCTCCAAGAGAAATGACAGTAACTGACCAGCAGAGGCTTTATCAGGTATGCTTATGACAGCCTCATCCTCCATGCCCTACACTGGAAGAAGAGTCCTCAAGCCATCGGCAGGAGAGTAGGAGGACTCTCCATGTGATGGCATTCTCCTCTGTTTTGATACGGGCAGCTACAAGGGCTTATGTATGTGCAAAAAGTCAATGAAATAAACACTTTGGATGTCGTTAAATTTCATTTTAACTAATGTCTTAACTTTAAGAGCTAACTCTATAAAACTCTTAATGAAAAATATGACTTCCTGACTTTAGATTGAACAATAGACTCCTAGATTTATTATCAGAAACATCATCAACAAGTGAAAAAAGAGACAAATTGGATTAAACAAAAATTTTAAACTTTTGTCCATCAAAAGGACATCATTGCTGATCATGGTAAGGCCCTGTAGTGAAAAGAATAAGGACATCATCAAGCTAGGTGTCAAAAGCAGGGCTGTAATCCCAGCATTTGGAAGACTGAGACAGGAGAATCGTAGTTCAAGGTCAGCCTCTGCTATATGCAAGTTTGAGGCCAGCCTGAGCTACATGAGACCCTGTCTGCAAATGAAACAAACAACAACAAAATGACATTGTCCCAGGCATAGTCATACATACATGTAATCACACATTGTCCCAGGCATAGTCAAACATACATGTAATCACACATTGTCCCAGCCATAGTCATACATACATGTAATCAGACATTGTCCCAGGCATAGTCATACATACGTGTAATCACACATTGTCCCAGGCATAGTCAAACATACATGTAATCCTAGCATTCCAGAGCCTGAAGCAAGAGAATGTGAGTGCCAGAAAACCTGAACTTTATAAACTAATCTATCCAAAAAAAAAAAAAAACACCAAGGGCTAAAAGCATCCTCTACATATATATGTACACATATACCCGTATAATTTTATTCCACACGGGGTTCCACTGTGTAGTCCTGGCTGTCCTGGAATTCGTTCTGTAGACTAGGCTGGCCTCAAACTCACAGAGATCTGCCTGCCTCTGCCTCCTGAGTACTGGGATTGAAGGTGTGCGCCACCATATTCAAGGTGTGTGTGTGTGTGTGTGTGTGTGTGTGTGTGTGTGTATGTGTTCATGCATTTGTGCTCTCTCAAGTGTGTGCCTGTATCTAAAGGAAGGGCCCAGTGAGATGGCTCAGTAAAGGAGGCTGCCACTGCGCCTGATGACCTTTGTCCAGTTAATCCCTAGGATCCGTATGGTGGAAGGAGGGAGGGAGAGAACCTACTCTCAGGTTGTCCTCTGACCTCCACACAACAGCTGTGCCCACAAAATAAATACAAATATAATAAAAACTGTCAAGAAAGCTGAGAGCCAGATGTCATGGGATAAGCCTGTAATACAATCACCAGAGAGGTGGAGAGAGGAGGATTCTGAGTCAAAAGTCAGAATCCTGGACAACATATCAAGACCCTGCCTTTCAACAAACACAATAGAATGAGATAGACACATTTGCAAATCATAAGGGTTTATATTCAGAATATATAAAAACTACTACACATCTCTATTTAAAAGAGAAAAAGAAGGAAAGAAAATAAAATAAAAAAATAAAAAGCAAGTGCGGTGTCCCAGCTGTGACCCCAGCACTTGGGAGGCAGAAACAGAAGGATCAGATATTCAAGATCCTCCTTACCTACATAGGAAGTTGGAGGCCAGCTTGGGCTACATAAGCCCCTGATTTACAAAAAGAAGAAAATCTCTGATCACAGAAATGGACAAAGGACTTGGATAGATACTGTATATAATGGGCCAACAAGCCAGGTGGTGGTGGCACACTTGGGAGGCAGAGGCAGGAGGATCTCTCTGAGTTCAAGGCCAGCCTAGTCTATAGAGAGAGCCAGAATGGCCAGGGCTACACAGAGAAACCCTGTTTCAAAACAACAACAACAACAACAACAACAACAACAACAAAAAGAGGCCAACAGGCATGTGGGAATACTCTCTGCTCACTAAGGAAATGCAAATAAAACCCAATGAGATGCCACTTTGTATCCATTAGTCTTTAATTAAAAAAAAATTATGTATTTATTTTATGTCTTTGGGTGTTTTGTCTACATGTGTTTCTGTGAGCCGCATGGATCCCTGGTACTCTTGGATTCCCTGGAACTGGAGTTACAGACTGTCGTAAGCCAACATGTGGGTGCTGGGAATTGAACTCCTTTGGAAGAACAGCCAGTGCTCTTAACTGCTGAGCCATCTCTCTAGCCCCTATTCCTTAATGTTCAAATCCCCAAGTGGAAATAACTAGGGTTGGCATGATTTGGAGAGATTCGAGGCCTCACACACCGATGGGGAAGGTGCGCAGTGGCCCAGGAAGGTGCGCAGTGGCCCAGGAAGGTGCGCTGTGGCCCAGGAAGGTGCGCTGTGGCCCAGGAAGGTGCGCAGTGGCCCAGGAAGGTGCGCAGTGACCCAGGAAGGTGCTCAGTGGCCCAGGAAGGTGCGCAGTGGCCCAGGAAGGTGCTCAGTGGCCCAGGAAGGTGCGCAGTGGCCCAGGAAGGTGCTCAGTGGCCCAGGAAGGTGCTCAGTGGCCCAGGAAGGTGCGCAGTGGTCCACAACGGTGCGCAGTGGCCCAGGAAGGTGCGCTGTGGCCCAGGAAGGTGCGCTGTGGCTCAGGAAGGTGCGCTGTGGCCCGGGAAGGTGCGCAGTGGCCCGGGAAGGTGCGTTGTAGCTCAGGAAGGTGCGCAGTGGTACAGGAAGGTGCGCTGTGGCCCAGGAAGATGTGCAGTGGCCCACGAAGGTGCGCTGTGGCCCAGGAAGGTACGCAGTGGTACAGCTACTTTGGAGAATTATCTGGAGGCTCCCGAGGGAGACACACCAATTCCGCTCAAGGCAAATGCCTGAGAGCAATGAAAGCCTTTGTTCTCACAAAGACTGGTACTCCAATCTTCATAGAATGATTATTTATATCCAACCCAGAGTGACGGCAGCAGGAAGTCCAAGGACTTATGAATAAGCTGTGGTACATACATAGCATGGAATATTATTTAGTCACAAAAAAAGGACAAATTATCACATCCAAGGGAAAACACAAATGAGCCTTGAAAATCTTTATGGCAAATGAAAGAAGCCAGACCGAAAAGGTCACATAGCGTGTGACTCCATTTACGTGAAATGCTCAGAATGGGCAAAGCCACATCCACAGAGAGATTAGTGGTTGCCAGGGGATGGGGCAAGGGGTAAGTGGGGAGTGATTACTTAATGGACATGGGGTGTTTTTCTGGACCAATAAAGTTTTGAAAGCAGAGAGAGGCGGTGGTTACACAACATTGTGAATACACTAAATGACACTGAACTGTACACTTAAAATGGTTAATTGTATGTTATGTGAATTTCACCTCAATTAAAAAAGTAAACTTTAATTTAAATAGAGAATAGAAACTGCACAACATAAACATCACCTCCAACTCCCCGGTGGCCCTGAGAACCTTCTGGATGCCAAACTTCCATCCTTCGCCTCCTTTGGCCCCACCGCAGCTCCAGAGGTGGGGGTTCTCCAGGCTCGCAGATGGGAGGCCTCTGAACCACAGAAACCCAGGGACAGTGGCTTCCCAGTCCTCACTGCAGTACCTGGGGTTCTCCTCTGGCTCCCTGGCTGGGAGCTGGTGAGGTCAGGCTTGGGGAACGTCTGTGCAACCGCAAGGCAGGAGTTAATGACTGAGGAGCTTGGAATGTACTGGTTCTGAAAGGGCCTCTTGTGGCTCCGCAGTTAGAGCAGGAAGGGACTTTCGAGTCACGTACACACACTGCACTGGAGACCTGGGCCCTGCTCAGCTGCCACAGACAGTGTGAGGAGAAGGTAGGTAACCTTTTTTGCAGCAGGAGGAGGATGTATGCAGTCAAGCTGGACTCAGCTCAATTCTCCTGTGTGCCGTCACCTGGCTGTTGATGTCATCTATCTGTCTGGCTCTGGTCAGCCCAAGAGTTTAAAAGCTCAGCCGTGTGTGTGTGTGTGTGTGTGTGTGTGTGTGCACATGCAAGAGTACACGTACCACAACACTCATGAGGAGATCATGGGGCAACTTTTGAGAATTAGTTCTCTTCCCGCCACCACATGCTCCGGGGTGCAGACTCAGGTGGCCAGGCCTGTTGTGGCGAGCACTCTGACCTGCTGAGCGATCTCTGCAGCCCTGTTTTGTTTGTTGAGACAGAGACTGTCCTTGAACTCATTCTGTAGCAGATGCAGACGCTGAGCTTCTCCTGTCCTCCAGTAGTGCAGCATCACAGGCGTTCACCTCCACCACGCCTGTCCCTGTGACGTTGTTGTATGTATATCTCCAGCAATCCTCAGATATAGTTATCACTGTCTCCATTTCACAAATGAGGAAACAGGAGCTCAGAGAGATTGTGTGAGTCATCCAGGACATGCAGCGGATAGTCAGCCTATCCAGAATTCAAACCCAGAACCCAGAGCTTTTGGAGTCTACCACGTACATATTCGTATTCTTTCTCTGGGTCTCACTGCCCCCAAGACTCCTCTCTTGCTCTCCCAGCACCCCCGCCCCCCACATGCCTGCATTTCTCTTTCTGGCAAACTGCTGTGATTTCTCTCGAGGATGACAGAGCGATGAAAAGGCTCTAGGCTGGTGACCTTCTGAAGTGGAAAGAAGCTGAGAAGGGAGCTTTGGGGTCCTTCCAGCCTGACATTCTACATGTATGCACAGTGTGAGGGCTCCAAGCTCTGATGGTCTGACTTGGTCACCAGACTCAGCCGCTTACACAGTGGCCCTGGGCAACTCGTTTCAATACCTGGCAACCTCAGTTTTCCCCATCTGTAAAATGGGGGTTATGATGGCACCTACCTCCCCAAGACATTTGGCCAGGGCCTCACCCTCACAAAGACCTTTCACATACTTCCAAAGAAGGCTGGTGACACACACACAGAACCGGAGGCGTGCCTCTAGTCAAGAAGCCTCATTGATTGCATCTGTGTCCTTCTGTAGGCTCTCTCTGCCCGTAGAGGCCTGGATTAAAATTTGTGATAGCTCCAGAGACTGTCTTGAACACAATTATGGTGCTTTCTATCTGTGGGTACCCTAAGTGTCATTTCGCTTAGTGTTAAAATCTAACATTTTTGTAACCCTGGTCACTTACTTTTCAGTCTATCGGAGGCCGTGACACCAGTTGAAACTGGGTGTGGTGGCGTATGCCTGTAATATCTGCCCTCCACTCAGGAGGTGAAGGCAAGAAGATCAGCAGTTCCAGGTTATCCTAAGCTACATAAGGAGTTCAAGACCAACCTGGGCTACATGAGACCCTATCTAAAACCAAAAAAAGTCAGGCATGATGGTGGCATATTCCAGCACCTGGGAGGTGAAGGATCAGGAGTTCAAGCACAGCCTCAACTAAATAGCAAGTTCAAGGCCAGCCTAAGATACCTGAAACCCTGTCCCAACCAACCTCCCTCGACAAACAATAAACAGAGTAAACTCAAGCAAACAAACTTCCCACCCCGATTCCAGAGGAGTGACCTTAAGCCAGACTTGGATGGCAGTCGGGATGATTCCTGCCAGGTAAATAATGATCATACTTATAATTCACTTCAATAGTTCCCAGGTAGTTTTCCCGTTCTTCTTTCTAAATCCCCGAGCGAGGCCAATCGGCTACGTATTTTATGGCGTTGGGAACCTTGGCTGGCCCAGACGGGGCGGGGCAGAGCGGCAAGCCCCAACCTCAGCTAGGTGCGTCAGGGGGAATCCTCACTGCACCTAGGCGCGGCGAGGAAATTGCACCATGTATGGGCAGCTGCGTCAGAGGGGGCGGGGCCACCGCAGTGGCTAGGGGACGCCAAGTCGGTCGCTTTCCCTCAGTAGAGGCTTCTGGCCACCAAAGCAGGGGGTCCTGAAGTTCCGTGCGGACCGGCCCACAGCGGCTCATTCGGAGAGGTGAGAGGCGCCGCTGCGACACGCCCCCCACCCCCCCGCGGTGCAAGTGGTTCAGCCCGAAAACTTTTCATTCATAAAAAAGACAAGACTCCGCGAGGCGCGAGTGAGTCAGAACCGCAGCCGCCGACGCGGACCCTACCGAGCATCCAGCCCAGGGCATGTACCGAGACTTCGGGGAACCGGGACCGAGCTCCGGGGCCGGCAGCGCGTACGGTCGCCCCGCGCAGCCCCCGCAAGCGCAGGCACAGACCGCCCAGCAGCAGGTGAGGCTGGCCGGACCCCGGAGGGGACCTGGGTTTGGACAGCGTTGGGGATGCTGGAGTTAGTCTGGTTTGCTCCGGGATTAGGACCGGGACCCCGAGCAGCGTCTGCCTCTGGTGGTCGCGACCGAGGATCCTGCACGTTCTGCGCAGTCCAGGAACCGGTGTCCCCCGTACCCAGGGGAGCAGGCGCAACTGGAGGAGCGAAGATGTACGAATCCCTCTTTTCGCCCGCCCGCCCTCATCTCCCTAGCTGAATGTCAATCTGCCCCTCTGTCTCCGTTATGGTCTTTATTTCCTCTTGTCTGCCCCTAAATATGGTGTTCCACCTGCCCCATCCCAAGACGGAGCAGGACCAGAGTGAGTGCTCCATCTCCAGCTTAATAACCGGGACCTAGAGTCTGGGCACACGGGAGATTGGGGGAGGGGGCATTAGAACCCGGCCAGGACAGCGAATCCTTAGCAGTCTGTCTGTGACTGTCCGTGTGTCGCTTCTGGTTTGTCCGTGTCCCTCTGTCCGGTCAAGTCCCCATCCTTTTGAACTCAGTAGATTCCTGTGGGTCCCAGACAGTGCCTCTGAGGGGTTCCTGGAGACTGACGCTCCACTCCCTAAGACAAATGGAGACCACGAAGTGTTGGGACATGTGCTGGCTCATCCACCAGGCCCATACTCTTGCGCCCCATACTCTCGGCACCCGACGGTTCCCACTGCTGGCTAGGAGCACTTGAGAGGTTGCAGGTGCCCATTTCCTGTCGAAGAGCCACGAGCACGTGTCGTCAGGGGAGGGAAGGAGCTGCGTCCGTTCCGCCGAGTCACAGCGAACCGAGTCACTGCGGCTGAGTCACCCTGGGTGCCCCTCCCTTCCTGGCCCCAAACGGCCCTTGGGACCGACGACCTAGGAGCGGGAGATGCCCCTGGCGATGCTTCTAGCTCAGAACTGGGGTCATTCAGCTACTGTGTCCCCCAGTACTGGGCTGGGGACGTAGCCGTCCAGGCTTGCCTAGGCATATGAGGTGTTTCCTGGACAGAAGGGGGCCCCCACCCTTAGCTCTCAGGGCTTAAACCCAGTTCTCTTCCCCAGAATACTCACACCCCTCCAGACCCCCACCCCTACCCAATCCCAGCACATGCCTCAGATTTCTGGCAGAAAAGAAGTAAAGAATGCCAGGCCTCCTATGGAGGGCTTTTCATCTCTTTACTTAATTTTATGAACTCCAAATTCCCATCAATTTTGAGCCTTCAAAATTTCAAATTGACAGCTGGGCATGGCTTTAATCCCAGCATTCATGAGGCAGAGGCAGAGGCAGGCTGATCTCTGGAAGTTCAAGACCAATTTGGTCTACAAAGTGAGTTAAGTTACATAATAGAGAAATCCTGTCTGAAAAAATATAATAAATTTAAAAGCCAATTAAACTCCGATTTCTGAGCTATTAGAGCCAGCTTCTCGGCAGCAGTGAAATGTGGCATGGTATTAAGACCAAGAAGACTGAAGTAACCTTGAGGCTAAATGACTAGCCCCAGTCACAAAGCCGATCCCTCAAATGAGACAGCCTTTCCAGACAGGGTTGCTCTGTGTAACAGCCCCGGCTGGCCTCTCCCTCACAGAGATCCGCCTGCCTCTGCCTCCCAAATGCTGGGAGTAAGGGCTCGACCACCAGTGCCCTGCAGCACCTACCTCCCCTAAGAGGCTGTTACACACATTCTCGAGTCAGGTGTAGTGCTGCATGCCTAGAGTCTCGGTGCTTGGGAGGTGGAGGCAGGGGGGTCGAGAGTGAGTCTAGCCGCAGCGACATGAGATCCTGTCCCCCAAAACAGATTCCCTTACCAGATTCTCAGAGTGGCCTTGGGAGCTAAGCTGAATTGTGCTCTTTTGTGAGGCTGGGTGCAGGAATGGGTGTGAGAGCCCGGCCGTCTGGGCTCACGCCTCAGGTTCTACTTGCTGGCTGTGGTCTATGGACAGCTGCCGTCCCGTGTGAAAATGAAGACGCGATTGTGCCAGCTGTGTGAATCACTATTTATAAAGTAGTTGGAACAGTTCCTACTTGGTAAGAATTATCTCTTGAGGAAACAGAGGTAAAGAGACATTTTGGGACCTACCCAAAGTCACACAGCTCATGAACAAGTTTCTGGTCACCAAATTGCGTTCCTTGTGGTCTCCCAGTATCTGCATTGAGAGTAGACAGAAGGCTAGCCTCTGTCCCCTGGACGTCCCTCAGTTCTCCTCATCACTAACCCTCTGCTCTTACTTCTCAGAAGTTCCACCTTGTGCCAAGCATCAATGCTGTGAGTGGCAGCCAGGAGTTGCAGTGGATGGTGCAGCCTCATTTCCTGGGACCTGGCGGCTATCCCCGACCTCTGGCCTATCCCCAGTACAGTCCCCCTCAGCCCCGACCAGGAGTCATACGAGCCCTAGGGCCACCTCCAGGGGTGCGTCGCCGGCCCTGTGAGCAGGTAAGGAACAGAGGTGTTGCACTTTCGATAGCCCTTAGGGGTCCTCGGAGGCAGGGGACAGGATCTTGCTATGAGAGAACTCCCGTTGCCCATAGGAGTCCCTGGGAGGCCAAGAAAGAGGCGAAAGGTCACTTGTGAGTCAAGGAAAGCTTCCTGGAGAAGGCTGCATGTTAACCTAAACCACAGACAGGATTCATGTTTGGAAAGCTGAAAGAATCTTCTTGGGAATGGGGTTGGAGGAACAAGAATGCAGGAGGAGGACAGAGTGTAAAGGGGGTATGTGCAAATGGGGGGGTCTCCATTGTGTGGCGTGCATGCAGTGGGTAGGCTTATGTTGTCTACGTACCTTGGGGTGAGAGAAGAATAGGAACCAGTGTTCAACATTCCCTGAATCTCAGTTTCTCTATTTCTTTTAATGCTCACAAAAAGTGAACGGGAAGCCAGATAGTGGTGGCGCACGCCTTTAGTCCCATCACTTGGGATACAGAGGCAGGCAGATCTCTGAGTTCTAGGCCACCTTTGTCTACAGAGTGAGTTCCAGAACAGGTTACACAGAGTAACCCTGTCTCAAAAAACAAACAAAAAATGAATGGGAAATGTATCTCAAGTTTTCCATCTCCCAGCGGAGGAAGTGAAGACACAGAAGGTAGTCACTTGTCCAGTCCATACAAACACTGAGTAATGAGACAGGACGGGCCTCAGGTCCTCAACTCCCAAAGCCGAATGTCTCAATGGGAGCTCACAGAAGTTTCCAGACAAAGGGAGCCGAGAACTTTTGCCTCCCTGAAGTCCTTCCTAAAATGAATAAGGGTGTTTTTGTTTGCTTATTTGAGCTAGGGTCTTGCTATGTAGCCCAAGCTAGCCTTGAATTTGAGCTCTTCCTGCCTCAATTTCCCAAGTGCTAGGACTA